CTATATATTCCCCTATATAGCCCCCTTTAAGGAGTTTAGACTATGGCTCATATGGGCATTCCCATTGACATTCCCGCATCTCTCCAGGGTTCCTAAAGACACCGCCTACCTGCGGAATCCACTGGGGGTGCTAGGGAACAAGAGAGTATAATCTCCCCTATAGTCCCTATATAATATATTCCCTCCTTCCCCACTAATCCCCAGACCCAGACCCCTGGGAGGATCTAAACATTAGATCCCCTATACAGACCCATTATGACCCCTACATATCTAGGAGCTCCAATTTTTAGATCCCTTTGGTTGTCTGGGAGTAAACTGAAGCCCTTTGCGCTGACCTCCTCCTTTGGCTTCTTCGCTGTGGCAATGCCCGCCACACGCTTCGGAGCCTCGCCCGAGGATGCACCTCGCCACTGCGACACAGGTTTTTGCATTTAGTAGTTTCCATTTTCTTTTCCATTATCCCAATATATCCCCTAATATAACCCCAATACATACCCCTATAATCCCTATAGTAGGTGCTGTTAGAGAGCTTAGAATAAATCTACCATGATGTGGGTACATTGTGAATATCAGGGTTTCCCCATGGTGTAATTTAGATTCCTTAACAGTAACCAGTAACCCTGGTAGGTTTAGGCGTTCTTCTGGATTTCGTTGTTAGGGCTTGCGTTTTGGCTGAAGCATGTGGGATTGGGGGTGAGGGCTAAGGCTTTACTACTTGGAAACTGAGTTTTCGCCGCCAGTAATATCCTGATCATTCCTCATCCCAACAAGAACTCCAAACAACGGGGTTGTTGCCAAAGGAGCATGAGGGGAGAGGGTCAGCAACAGCAGCTATGACTCAATTGAGAAAATGCAGCTGAACTTAGGGTGAGTCAATGATAGCGTTTGCGGTGTAAAGTTTATGCAGGGCTTAGAATGTTTCCGGTTGATACCGTTTTTGTGCCGGGTCATCCCGATTAAGTGAGGCCTGGGCCGAGGGGTGTGGATTAGCTCATTACGTTTCTTCCGGTGAACTTATCCTACTTGGAGGGTCATGGGGACTGAGTAAGTAGGATAATAATGGGGATATTTGGGGTTATTATTTGGGTTATAGGGGTTATTAACCTACTTACCAAGTCCCCATGACCCTCCAAGTAGGCATGCGGCTTCGAAAATGCGTCTCCCTAACCCCCGCTTGTCAACCCATCGCCGACTAAACTCCAAGCCCTGACACCGGAATCCTAAATCCTGAGTCCTACTGTTGATACTAAAAGTCCTGCATGACCTTAGTATACTATAATACCATAACTCCCAGGGCATAAGGTACTTAGGGTCATGCAAGATTCTTAGTATCTACCTGACCGCTTTGAACTCTGCCCCCCTGGGTTGGCCCCTAAAACCCTTTGAAAAATATTAGTATATGGGGTCCCTTATTAAAGCCATTAGGGCACATATCAAATATCCCAGGGGCCTACCCAGCCCCCAAGACCCTATACTATAGTCGCCGAAATGCCTCCGCGGAGGGCTGCCAGACGTTGCTTCACCTTGCAAATCTCAGCAATAGTTTGGGTACTGCCCCCACCCTGTGACGCTTATCTTGAGGGCTATATAGTGAGGGCTATGTAGAACTGTATTACAGTTGTTATTCAACTGTTACAGGGTGGAGGCAGTACCCAAATAATAGTACTGGAAATAGAAAGGATCATAGCATTAGCAACAAGAAAAGTAAGTATGATAAGAGGTAGGACTTGTAAATTACTACCCTGAACCCTAAACCCTAAACCCTAAACCCGCAGCTTTGTAGGAGCACCGGGATTTGGGGCTTTTTCCTTCAGATTTGGCGATCAGGGCTTGGATCAGGGTCTTGACTTCTAATCTCGTGGGTGAGGCTGGAATTCACGGCAAATTCACGGCAAGCAAGGCAGCAAGGGGTGCAAAAACCTGTACTTACTTCCCCTACTGTTGTTGAGGGACATACTTCTAAATTACGACTATCCCAAATTGCAGGAGATTGGTTCCCCTACGAGGCTCCAAGGCTACAAGATGTCCACAAAAGACTGTCCTGCGTGATCACGCCCCTCCTCTTTGGGAGGGTCAAGGAGGTTAGTAGCCAGTTAGGTAGGTGGTTCATTTGCTGCCCACAGGAGCTCTACTAACGTGCTTCCCTTTCCACATCGCGTGCTGCCCTCATTACTAGGCTCCAGCCTTCACACAAAATCCGAACAGCCGACGACTGCGAAACCCTGTATGATGCTTGCATAAACCTTCTGAAAGCCCTTGACCTTAGTTTTCTCTCCGCCTGTAGAGCTCAAGTATAGGCTTTCTTCTCGTCGCTATCCTAGGTCCTAGGACAAAATCTGGCGAAGCGTACATAATCCAAGATCCCTAAACAACTCACATATGCGCTCCTTACCTCTCCTAACATGCTCCTAGCTCTTCCTAGAAAATGCCTCTCCTCATGCTCCCCACATCATCTTTCCCTCTCTACGCCCTAAGACTCAGATGAAGCCGCGTGCCCTGAGCCTCAACACCTTCACGGGTTTCCAAAAAATGGGGTCCCCCTTATATGCCCCAAAGCGCGAAATGGCTTCAGATCCATACCCCATCAAGCGGACCCCTAAACGTTGGAAACGCCTCACACTGACTGGTTGTTAGTTGGGAATGCGGACATATGATTCCTATATAATCCCTGTCAATATGTTGCCTTCTTCCCTCCTAACCCCCAGTAAGCAAATGCAACCCAAAAAAACTCACTGCAGCCCAAGCCACCCGATCAGCTGCGCTGGGAGCCTTTGGCGCCTCCTCCTCAGGCGGAGGCCTCGGCTTCAGTGTTTCTGGTGGGTTTGGGAGGTTTCAAACGCAAAGGCGCCAGCAATGAACACCTCAATGCACGACACTCCTTGTTAAGTTCGCCCTGAATCCTTTTAAGTCTTAAACACCAGGGAGAAGCTTTGTACAACTTACTGGCCCCCAGAGAGTGCGCACACCCAACTGAGAAGATTCCTTACATGAAGGTCCCTGGCAGCAGGGAACGCTCATCAGCGATCGTCCTGATGCTCCCAAAATAATTAGGGTGACTTCGCCAAGCTGCGGCACCGCGAGCCGTCCAAGAACTGGCTTCCTCTAGACGGATGGCAGCACATGATTCTCACTTAGCTTGCGGCTATAGTGTTCTTGCGGTAAAAAGGAGATCAGGTGTAGCATTTAGGGTTTGAAGCGTCTGGGGTTGGCTGGTCATTTCTCAAGTTCGTAGCTTCTATCTTCACGAGTGATGTTGACTGGACAACTTAGGATCCCGGAAGCTGGTTTTGGGCTTCGTCCGGGCTTGCAATGAACCAGGTGTGGGGTACTGTAGGTTCCTCAACTCCTTGAGGCCCAAAACCTTGAACCCTAAAGCCCTGCAATCCCCTGACCATCACGTACCTGTCCTCAGGCCCTATAAGGTTGCCGTCAGCAGCTCTAAAACGCAAGTATGAAACACACAGCCGTGGGCTGTTGGATAGAACTCTCCCACAGCACTTGCTCCAAAACGAGGCCACATGTAGATCCCAAAAAAGAAGGATCTTCATGATAAGACCAGTCAAGGCGATCCAACAAGATATCGCCCAAACTTGAAACCCTTCAAACCCTGAATCCTAAGCCTCATATGAGCTAGAGTCTATACTCCTAAAAGCGGATATGTAGGGGCTTATATATTGGGGACTATATACGGGTTCTGAAGGGGGACACCAGGAGCTTAGACTATGGCTCATACACCCTCACAGTGCCCCCACCCCCATGTAGCCACCCCATAATCAAATATTCCCAGGATCCCGATGAGCGCCGGAATTTTGCAAAAACCATGTCATTTGATTACTGGTGGTTAGCAGGGAATAAGGGAATATGTCTCTATGCAACCTCTATGAAATCTTTTCCCTGATTCCCTACTAACCCTAAACCCCACTGACCCTAAACCCCAAACCTAAACCTGATGATCTACGATAATCACTTATTCCCTACTGACCCTAAACCCTAAACCCTACAGATCCTAAACCCCAAACCTTATGACCTATGATATGATAATCACTTATTCCCAACTGACCCCCAGTAAGCCTGGGCCATAAGGTCCTTGCCTCTCTGCAGCTCGAAAGCCGGCGAAGTCGCGCAGCGACGTCCAGGGAACATCATTGCGCATTGGGCGTAATGGTTCAGAGCTTAGGGTTTAAGGTGTAAGGAATAACAACGCTCCGTCGCCACGTAAACGCGCGCGCAGAAGACGCACGCATTACAGCAGAAGCCGAAAAACATGGCATGCGTGGCACTTCAGGCATGCGGTTACATCTGCAAACAAGGCATTAATGCAGCCGGAAATTACCGTAAAAACTGCCAAAATCGCGTTTTCGGCTAGGAAGTGGTCTTGACGGAGCTTTGCAAAAATGCACCCAAAAACACACACGGGTTTGGGCAGTAGGCCAAAAGCATGGCACACGTGGCATGTGGCATCTAAACACAGCTTCAGTGAAGGCAGAAATGTATGCAAACCTCATGCACGAAGCTCGCAACTGGTCGGCGTATGCTCTCGGAACACGAGCATTTTTAGGGTTTGAACATGGATGCTCTGATTATCGCACTCATTAAAAAGACGAACGCAATCATGGTTTCTGCATACATGCTCTGGTTATCGCATGCTCTTGGAGCACGAACGGAGTTATGGTTTGGGCATGGATGCTCTGCTGAACGTATGCTATTGGAACACGAACATGATTAGCGTTTGGGCATGGATGCTGCGTTCACCGTATGCTAGGGTTTGGGCACTGGTCATCGCGTGCTTTTGGAACACGAACGGAATTCTGGTTTGGGCATGGATGCTCTGGTCACCGTATGCTCTTGGAACACGAACATTATTAGGGTTTGGGCATGGATGCACTGGTCAGCGTATGCTCTCGGAACACGAACGCTATTATGGATTGGGCATGGATACTCTGTCCACCGAAAACTGCAGAAGTGTTCGAAAGGCTGCGAGGGTCAGCAAATCTAGGCCCCTGACGAAGGCAATTTCTGTGCATGTCATAGAAACGCATAAGTGCTGACAGCACCAGCACTTCGCGCATTTCCAAGCCTGCGAAAATGCGCGAAATACTGCGAGAGCCGGTAAAAATGGGCTCGGGCGAGGACGCTGACTTTGCGCGTTTACATGACGACGGGTCCAATAACAATGAAAAAGTAGCAATAATGATGATAGCAATAAAAAAAAGAATAAAATAACAATGACAACAATATTAAAGATAACAATAACAATAACAATAGTAAATATATAGCTGTTAGCGACTACGGCTTCGGGATGTGGATGTAGAACTTAAGGTCTAGGGAACAGGGTTTGGGGCTTAGGTCAAGTTGCTTTTTTAGTGTCTCTTCTGTAAGTAGACAGCGGCTGAGGGGCTGTCGGGTTTTAATAGCGGGGGCCGCGCAGGCTGCCGGCAATCTGGTTGCTGTCAAGGATCTTAAATTAAGTCACCATACCATGGGTATATGGTAAATCATAGGG